TATACATCAAGATACACGGTCAGCTGTTGTAATTACTTTCGGTCAACCAAGATATTGTATAATGATAATTTCCATATGACACAGGTACCATATTTTATATTAAGGTATAACACTCAGGTTGATATATAATTTTACCTAATGAGGTCCAAATGACCTAAAATTTGCGATGCATTATCCCTTTTGCTTTAATCTAACAATGCATCAAAATGCACGGTCAAAGCCAAGGGTAATGTTTCTATATTACTATATTGATTGTTGTTGAAATAGATCTCGCGATCAATATCTGACAATATAAAACTGAATAATTTATGGTATTTTTTTTCTTTTTTATAATAATTAGTTTTAAACAATGATCTGCAGGTTTAAAATAAGATATTTGATGAATTTTTAAAAGAAGTAAAACGCAAGATATATATGAGATTGAATGCCTTGTTGCGTTAATCAATATCTATCATCTAGGTCCTTATATGAAGATGAATTGAAGCTTAAAATTACATTACCATATACAAAATTTTTTAAGGTAATGTTCATAACCCTCCTCATGAATCACCTTTTGACCCTATTGTGGTCCTAAAATCAGCACCACGGATTCTCAATCAAGTACATTGTATTGTAAATGATTTCGGGGCCTGGTTGGCTCTGTCCTGTCATTATAAATATACGGCTTCACCTGTTATCCCGAAGTCTTCTTTGCTTTCTCTAAAGTTGACAGCTTCTCTTGCGTATGCCGGTAACAATGGTACTTGATGTTTCCTGCTTGAGGCACAACAACGACCGAGCATGTATGACTCTGTCTTTCCAATGTCAATATAACGAACCGGGGAAAATGTGCAATAAAAGAGACAGGGCAGAATGTAGTGCTAAATCATGGACAGGGAATGATATAGTGTCAAATACAAGAAAGGCGAGGGGATGTAGTGTCATTAAATGGAAAGGCGAGGGGATGTAGTGTCATTAAATGGAAAGAGAGAGGATGTAGTGTCATATAATGAACAGGGGAGGATGCAGTGTCATATAATGGACTAAGAAGGATGTAGATATAAACTATTTATTTTACAACAATTGCGAAACAAGTTATGTCAACTTATGCTGATCACTCTTGTTGGCCCGGATGTAAGCGCGCGAGGGGTCTTATTGTGGGAGGAAACCGGAGTACCCGAGGAAAACTCACGTGGTCGGGCAGGTGACCTCATACCTTTTCACGTCGAACCCCGGTCGGCTAGGTGAAAGGCGAGTACGTTACCACTGCGCCACCCGACCACCCTAAGAAGGATGTAGTGTTATATGATGGACTAAGAAGGATGTAGTGCCAAATGATGGACATGGATGGATAGAGTGCCATATAATGGACAGGGATTATGTCATCCAATGCGCCATTTACAACAATTGAATAATTCATGTGCAATTTGTAAATGTAGAGCAACTGCTGAGATGGTATGAGTCTTTTATGTACACCTATTACATTAAAGATCATTCTTACGTGACAAATACCGTAGAGAAATTCAATGCAAATGATTTGCTGACTCAACGGCATGATGACAATGAGAAACAAGGGAACAAGGGGTATATACGATAGAATATGGTCCATCCAGTGCTCCTCACAATTACTGTCCAAATCGTAAGTGACATATTGGTGGCCATTGTTTTCTGATCAGTATCAGAATACATAATTAGAAACCAAGGGAAAAATTAAAATGAAATTTGAAATAGATCCATCCAGCGCCTCTTAAGAATGCAAAAACAAAATGAAAGCTAACCGTCTGTCAGCCATTTTGATTTCGGATCAGTCCCAAAGTGGGACTACGCACAATATTGGACCAAGGGGAAGCAACATTTTAGATTAAAAAAAAAGGACTATCCTATAATTCTAAGACACTGATTCTAAAATTATAAACACATTAGAGCGTCCACTGATATATAGACATATTCTGAGACACTGATTCTAAAATTATAAACACATTAGAGCGTCCACTGATATATAGACATATTCTGAGACACTGATTCTAAAATTATAAACACATTAGAGCGTCCACTGATATATAGACATATTCTGAGACACTGATTCTAAAATTATAAACACATTAGAGCGTCCACTGATATATAGACATATTCTGAGACACTGATTCTAAAATTATAAACACATTAGAGCGTCCACTGATATAGACATATTCTGAGACACCGATTCTAAAATTATAAACACATTAGAGCGTCCACTGATATATAGATATATTCTGAGACACTTAAAATTATAAACAGTTTCACTGATATATAATATATGAACTGATGAAATATAAACATTGGGACTGATATATAGACATATTCTGAGACACTTATTTGAGTTTCAAAAATGAACGATGAAATATAAAATTGGGATGTGCTCTTACGTCGAATGATATTCTGATCACTACAATGTCTTTTTCGTAAAAGATTGATCGGCTTCTACTTGCACTTTGGTTGGTCCTGTTTGTATCCATATAATACAACGTCCTCCTAACATCCGGGTACACCAATTGAAACGGTGTCCGAGGAGCGGACAAATAACAAAGAACAGAAAGAAAGATTAGGCTACAAAAAGGAAGTCTATGTCATATCAGGATATAAAAATGTCAACAACAACACTAATAGATTCCTATTCCTTTAATGACGTCAATTAAATAGTGCACTTGATTCCTCAAGTCAGCTGATGACATCTTTTCATCCTCATGGTATCGATACCAAGCCTTAATTATAGCATGATTTTCTGCAGTGAAAATATCGCTTATTTCTTAATGAACGGAAATAACAAGTTTTGATATTCTCACTCAATACAGGCGAATCATATTAGCTTTAGCGCTGAAAGTGTCACTTCACCGTCAGATGCAAACTACGGGAATGACAATTCTGATAGAAGCAGCACTACGGAATGGTAGGAAACTATCTTTATAGTTATTTGTTGATGCATGCTAATATAAATATAATCATTATGGAGTTGTTAAATACTTTTGAGACCCGATTTGAAAGATGTATCCGGAGAAATAATGGTAATCAAACGAGAGCGAATATCACACATAGATATAGATTGACACGTAAATGGCGTAAAATTCACACTGGCATCGACGGAAGATGCAAAATTGAAATAAATAAAGCATTTATTGTAGTTAGATGAATAAAAGATATATTCCATCTCGTGAAAAAGTCTTAAATATATAATTTACCATCCTACTCGATGACATACATATGTATAAGTGTTATTCATTAAAACAAAAAATGTTCTGTTGACAAGCTGTCCTTATTGATTATGTTATAAGTGAAGATCGAGATAGGACACTGAACGTTGAGTTTATTTGGTTTGGTAAACTAAGGTTTCCTAATTGTATGCAAACGTTCAGCACTTTAGAGTTTCCAATACATAATGAAGGTGCAATCTGTCTTAACTTGTTTGTTAGTTTGCTGTATTTACAGCCCGAAAATAGTCATGGATATTTCGAGACGTCTTCTTGTAATATGTATTCGCTATCCAGTTGAAAGCCAATCAGGGGATCAGTCAAATGCTATCTAGAGCAAGCGGGATAAAGTGTCTTTCCCAAGAACACAGCCATGAGAGCTTTTAAATCAGGTTATTAAAAAAAAAAATTTTACCCGACGTTACGTTACCATATTCCTCGGGATTTTACCTGACGTTACGTTACCACATTCCTCAGGTTTTTACCTGACGTTACGTTACCAAATTCCTCGGGATTTTACCTGACGTTACGTTACCATACTCATAGGAATTTTACCAGCCGTTATGTAACCATATTACTCGGGCTTTACTCGGCGGTACGTAATCTTACAGCTGAGATTTTAACCCGATGTTACGTAAACATATACCCAGGATTTTTACCCTACGTTTCGTTACCATTCACTTCGGAATGTTACCCGACTTTACGTACGCCAATGCTCAAACCAGACTATTATATTTCCTTCCTTCTGAATTCACGTCATTGATTTTACATAACATACTTGGCACATCCGTCATCTGAGAAGCTACATGTCTTTGACATGACTAAAATCAAAAACGTATAGTCATTTAATACTAGCAAATAGATAACAACACTGTTAAAATGTCAGCAGTCTGTATTCTCGTAATCGCTCCCGTATACAATATCCGTATAACAGGAAGTATTCTGATGTATGTATAGCATGGGTAAAGACCGCGGAGAGAACCGATATGTCATGCTGGCGAATTCAGAATTTACCTCATATTCGATTTAGACAAAAACGCAGTTGACATGAATAATTGATTGTTGTATTTTACACATCATTTAACTGTGTCGGCGTCGGGGTGTTGTTTCAAATGCTGTCAAGTGCTAATAAATCATACCCTTGTTTACGAGGAATGATGGACGTTCTGTGTGTGTTCATAGCGGGGATATCACTATTGTCGCCACCTGATGTGGGATAAAATCATTTTCTGTTAAAAAACTGTGATCTATGCTACGGTCTAAACAAGTTTTTTCTTGTGGTTATTAACAAAATGTTGTATAACAACATAAAGTCGAACCTCGTTATCTCGGACTTGTATAAGTATTTCGTCTGTCTCGGCCAACCTTTTTACCAAACATTCGATATTATTTTAATCGAGTACTCTGTTAACTCGAAGTTTTCCAATGGTCCCGCCAACTTCGGAGTAACGAAACTCGACTGTATAATAATTCCTGTAAAGCCTTAATAGGACAAAAGCAAGCTGTTGACAAGTTTAGCAGCTGTTGTTCATTTTATTTTTTTCAAACATCAAGCTTGTACCATGTAAAAACGTTTGATTGTTTTATATAAGTAAAATCGATCATTTCAAACTAAGTTTGTCCCTACGACAGATGATCTTGTGCTGTTCCTCAAGTTTTCGAGACTCTACTCTTAGAACACCGATAGTGCTACTGTGTCTATCCAAGATGACACCATTATTTCTCTTACACATTCCAAATACAGAAAATTTCGGTAAAGTAAACGAATCTGATGATATATTATGCTTGGTAAGGCGATCACACTTGCATGATTCGAAGTTCCAAATAAAGGTTTTGCGTCTGATTAAGGACATTCCCTGCTTCACCTTCCCCCTGGTTTTGTGTCCGACGAATAGCATTCCCTGCTTCACCATATCTCTGGTTTTTTGTCCGACTAGGAACATTCCCTGCTTCACCATCTCTCTGGTTTTTTGTCCGACTAGGAACATTCCCTGCTTCACCATCTCTCTGGTTTTTTGTCCGACTAGGAACATTCCCTGCATCACCTTCCCCCTGGTTTTGTGTCCGACGAATAGCAGTCCCTGCTTTCCTTACCCCTTGGTCTTGTTACCATATTTGATTTACATCAATTGGCAGCAAGGTCGTCTGAAGAAAAGCTCAAAGGTAGGATGTTCAAATATTAAACTTAAATTGAGCCTTTCTTCAGACGACCTTGCTGCCAATTGATGAAAATCAAACCGGGTAACAAAACTAGTGGGAAGGTGAAAATTATATGGAAGTTTTCTGATCGTCTCAGAAATCTCATTAAGGCATATTCTGTTTCTTTGTGCGATGAAGCAGAGGACGGGTATTCTTCCGGAACACTTGGTACTTTCTCAGCAGTTTCTGTTAAAATATTTGTTTCGTTAATTTTCATTGAATAGATATGAGTTTATACCATCAAGCATTCATTAAACACATTGCTGGAACATCTAAAAGGTTTGCCCTAAATATGTTTACAGATTGAATTACTATATATTAAGGAAGTGATGTTTATCGACACCAGTATTTTCGAGGTCTTAACACCTCATATGTCATCCAAATCAGGTCAGTATTTAAAGAACAAGATCTTCTTAACTCTAATCTAAAATAAACAATGATTTGTCGAAGTTTATTTGTTATTTCGAGCAGAGTCGCATATGACACAAGTGTTTAAGTTTAGAAATCCTTTTTATGAACTAGTAAACAACAGGTTTAGAAGTACTCAATCTGCCTAAGTTCTTTTAATGATGAAACAAATTGCATGTTTAAAAACATATCTCTTTTCCGTAAGGTTCGGTAGGTCTTCTCTGAACACTGTCGCATAAACATAAGTCTTGCTTTTAGTTTCTCTGAGTGGCGCCATGTTTGTGGAATTGTTTGCTTTGATAAGATTGCACTTCGAAATACATATATATCAAGATATCCTTAATATAGAAAGTTTTCAGCCGTTTTCGCTTTAAATCATTCAAGTTCTAATCAGTAGCTATGGTAATTTGAAGGACCTAGTTGAGAGGCCGTGGTGGCGGAGTGGCTTCTGACCGTCTTAATCAGTAGCCAGCTACCTATGGGTCGCAGGTTCGAGGCCAATGTGTAGCAGTCGCCAGGTAGTTGCCGCTGGTCGGTGTTTTACTTCGACTTTCCTCCACCAACCAAACCCGATACGTCCTTAAATGACCCTGGTTGTTAATAGAACGAAACAATAAACCAAATTTCCCTTGGTAGGAGAATGCAAGTACAAGTCTTGTTTGTGAAAGCTTGTGACATGCTCACATAAGATTCATTGTGCTAGTGCATGTTTGAACGACTTAATGTAATAAGCAGTAAACTTTTGTCGCAATAATGAATAAGACAATAGACAAAATAAATAGAAACAAGTTTTCTTATTTACCTGACTTCGATTGTGTACCTAAAAGCATTTAAATGAACATCTATGGAGTGCATATATCACGATTATTCGGTATTACTATCTCGTCCTTATGTATAGTGGCTTGTGTTCCGCAAATAACTGTGTAGAGTTAAGTATCTTTATTGATAAATGCGTACACTAATTATTGAATATAGACAGTTTTTTTTTTATCTGATAACATTTGCCGTTACAGTCGAGGTAACAAAACTACGAAATTAATATATTTTATCAAAGTTAACTTTATGAACAATACAAGTAACCAGCGTGAAAAAAAGACAAAGAGATTACCGACATCTTAACAGACTTTAAGATCCAACTGAAGTTCAATGAAATTAGAAGATTAAAAATGGTAAAACGATTAAAAGAAACAGTGATACGTTTTGTAGATTGTCCAAGACAGGAGGAACATTACATCGGTCAAACGGTAAATGCATAAACTGATGAGAGAGTTCTGATATGCAAAAATGATATTTCATCTTAAAGATAAATATGGCAAAGGGACATTCCCTCTATATTTTTTTTTTATAAAATGATGAATACCTGTATCAAAATATGAAAATAAAATGATAAAATGGACAATTCAAATGGGCAAAAACATTCTCAGCGGACAATAAAGGTCCTCAGAATTAATGTTATCTTAACAGAAGTATTGAGGTTATTAACTCCCATTATATAAACTATTTTATGTAACTTTGTGGTAATTAAGAAGTTATATTAATTAATCGCCTTCACAGAACCCTTTTATGGCTACGTTATCCAAGAACTCCACCATTTTGTGACAACAAATTGTGCCGAAAACGACAAAAAATAAAACCATTGTCCAATATGTGATTTTCATGTGTGTATCACGTGTTCTTCGTCTTGTATGTTTAATTTTGGAAATGATCTGCACAACACAAGCAATCACCTTGATTGTGGTATGGGACGAGAGTATTGCCATACACACTAAAAAAGAGACAAACACAGAGGTATAATATGTACAGTATCTATTTACAACATGTTTAAAGTGCAATTATTTACACATCTTTACTAAATTTTTAAGCTGTATACACAGTGCTCTTAAATCTATACAACAGTTCGTTTTACCGACTCACAGTAGTCTTTCAACATCCACAAATTGTCGTTTGGTAATTGGGAAGGTCTCTCTGGTCAGTTAATGATAAAATACAGAGTCCCAAGAGTAACGTGTGCACACAAATCTGGACGTTCCACAAAGCTCAAGAAAGATGTTACAACACCTCCATGAAGAACGTAGGCGCAATCCACCAAGATCACATGGTAAACATCCAAAGAGCATTATGCAAATCCTCGCAAGGAAAACATCAGATAAAGGAATTAAGATTGGTGCTGATTGGGGACCAGTTCGTTCATATCTACAAGGTCACAAACTACAAAGAAAGAATTACACAGAAAAATACTTAAATGTCTAAATCCAGTGTAATTTCTAAAAGAAAAGAAAAGAAAAAAAAATACGAAAAATCATTATAAGTATATGTTATTTTATACAAATTTTGACTCAAAATATGACCGATCAGTGACGTCAATTCAATATAATGTATTGGCGATTTCAATGGACGTTAAACATTATGAAACACAAACCATTTTTTGGTCAACATAGTGATCTTACTGTGAAATATTCTATTTCTTCGTGTGGACGTATTTAATGCTCGTCTGTTTGTTCGGTTGTTGTATGCCATGCTCTCCTGACATTACTTACTTGGATTGACCATGGTTTACGTGGCGGGTGTCGTCGATGAAGCAGAGGACGCTTACTCTTCCGGAACACCTGATCTTCTTCTTGTACCTTTACTGGAGTTTCCCTGTAAATCTTCCTATTGTTCATATTTTGGCATTGTTTTATTGAATCTGAGTTTTAATTATGATTATGTTGCTATACTGGTTTTTTCTTGATGTTTATTTTGTTGCATCGGGAAATTGAATCACTGTCTGTTCGTCCTTTTGTAAAGTCCGGTCCTCTTCATTTTATTTCCCTGACACTACATTTTTATCTTCGACTTACGCGTTCGCCAAAGTGATAAAGATAATTATTTTCCTGCTGGATGACTTCGGTAATAAACTTTAGTACGATAGCACTAACAATTCGGTAACATATCGTTACCTCCCGAAAACACGAAACAGTCTGCATAGCCAGTGAGTTGGTTGTTGAATGAATATAGATGTTGATAAGACATTAAACTGTGTAAAACAAATTAAATCTGACTCGATTTTCATATATTTTCTGTCTGCATCACGTTACCACAGGACAACAAATACTTCCGAATAAAACAAAAGAAAGGCCGAAAAAAACGCCTTTCATAATAGTCACTGCGGAACGAATAATTCCCGTTCGCCTTTAAAAAGTTTACAGCTATGCAGACATTGTAACAAAATGATAAATTATCGCATGCTTTTAAATGTATCAATTTAATCAGATCAATTGCATTTCTGAGCTATTGAGTGCAGTATTTGCGAAAAAAACATAGAGAGGCGAGCACAGCCCTAGGAATCAGTTTGATTAATAAAACACACAATACGTCAAATAAAGACACGTCTGATTTCTGTATCACGTGTCCCTTTTACACTACTCGCTCATCGACAAGGCATTCTCAACCTGTGGACGATCGCATTCAGCGTTTTAATCACATCGGTTCACCTTCTAGCTATCGCCAAGCCTTAGAAAACTTCTCTTTGTGTGAAATACATTTGTGTCTCAGAAAATCTTCCGTCCGAGGATACAGATGTGACAGCGCTGTTCCACATTAGTTGATATTGTATCGCGTTTTATAACAGATGGTATTTCCTTTAGGCAAATCTTTTGTTCATAATATTTCTCTCCTAAAAAATCACATGTTTAGTCCATATAAATTGGATCTCTTGTATAGTTTTGAATACTACCAGCATATAATTCAATATTTGTCACCAATGTAATTTCTATACTTCGTCTGGTATTGCTGAATGACAAGTTAAAGCAATGAGCGATCAAATAAGGAGTCAACATTTACGATTTTGTCCGATTTTGAGGTACAAAAATTTAATCAAATATAAATTTCTCATTCAACATAACTCTTAAGTTTGTTTGTTCTTTTTTTGAAATTTCTATCAGCAATATAACTCCTAAGGTGTTTTACCTTGTAATCGTCATTGCAATGGCTAAAACAGACGGCGTGACATTTTAAAGACTAGCATGCCTACCAATATTCAGAGATAAAGACATGATTTTGTCGACCTAGAAATATCACACACGTTTACTTAAAGATACTCACTACTTCTTAATACTTACAAATATCACCTTTGCTGTACCTCGATATAGAAATCACTTGTTGCGGAACTACAAAGTGTTATTGGTTTTCTCTTTAAGATTCGAGAACATTCAATGTACAGAAAACTAATACGTTAAACAGGACTTATCTCCACATTTGTTCACTAAAAACACTCATAAATGTTGATTATACCTCATTTGTTTTGTTTATCGTTTGCCTTTCAACTGTTTACTTTCTTTCTTTATACTTTTCGAAGACTATAAAATCATCTATGTGTGTGTCAATTCTCCTAATACGTTGCTGAAACAGTCTTACAATTTCTTAAAACCAATTATCATTATGAACAATGTTTTTCATAAATGTGCCAGGACCAATTAGTTAAATTAAATTTCAACAAAACAATTCAATCAAATTA